CCCCCCCGGCCTGCCCCCCTCGGTGCTCTCCTGGCTGCCGCACTCGGTATTCTCCCAGCTGCGGTGGCCCCCTAGTCGGCCGTGTCTCACCTGAAGTGCGGTAGGGAGGGCTCCCGAGGTGCAGCCACTTGGAAGGGAAGCATTGGCATGTCTGCCCAGGAGCGTGTGCGGCCCTGGCTTGGCTCCAGGCCATCGCGGATCCTCTGCAGTGACTGCCCACGTCTCTGGGAACCTCTTGGCCGCTTTTTACTTTTTAATTAAAACTTTTTTTGGCAGTGGGCCAGCAGGTAGTGTGGTAGTTACGGTGCTGGGCTCCCACGTGGCCAGCTGCTGGGCATGTGTGCGTGGGTGCTCAGAATCCTGAGCCAATGCAGGAAAAGACTGCAGCGTGGCTGGGGGGGCGACTGCTCACGTTCCCTCTCACTGTCTCTCTGTGGAGCGGACTCGCCAATGGCAAAAACCGTAAAAACAACAGAATTTTTTTGTGTGTGAGGGGATCAGAGGACACATGTACTAACCAGAGAGAAAAAGGGGGGGAGAGAGAGAGAAAGAGAGAAAGAAGAGGAGAGGAGAGAGAGAGAGAGAGGAGAGAGAAGCGCCCTCCCGATAGGCACCACAGCCCTTTCTCTGTCTCTTCTGTCAGGACCTTGGACCTGCCTTTCCGGGCCAGGACTCGAGCTGAGGGTGGCCACATGGGTTGGCTCCCCGTATACTGCAACTGTCACTGTGCTATGGGACTGCCCTGCTTTCCCATGTGAACTTGACACAGATCGTGTAGCCTACATCCTAAGTCAGACTACCATCCGACGTGGTGGGAGGAGGTTATAAGCAACTTTCTGTTATATAGAGCGTGTACACTTGCCTGAGACAGAGAGACAGAGAGAGGGAAAGTGAGAAAGCACCCCAGGGGTATGGCCACACTCCCGTCCCTTTTTGGACACATACGCACTTGCGCCCGTGTGACTTTTAAGCCACTGGGCTGGGGCTCCTACCGTAGTCAGCCATGTGCCATCCAGCTGCCTTAATCTCTGCGCCACCTGCTGGCCCAGGACAAGTTACTTAAAAAAAAAAAATAGTTTAAATTTATTTCTGGAAATTTTTTTTTCTTTTAATCTCTGTCGGTATGTGTGTTTGCCAGAGACACAGAACACCTCCCGGTGGGGTGTGGCCACGTCACAGTCTTTTCTCCATCTTTCCATCCTTTCGGGATCTGGGCACACATTCGTACCCAGTGTGCATCATGCTGCCGGGGCGGGGCTGAACCGTGGCTGGCCATGTGGGATCCAGCTGCCTTAGCCACTAGGCTCTGGGATCAGCACATTTGTTTATTTATGTAACAAGTCCTTCTTTCCCCAGAGCTTTCTTTTTTTGGTTGTTTTTTAAAGAATTATTTAATTTAACTTTATTTATTATTATTTTAATTTGACCGGAGAGAGAGAGAGAAAGCTGCCAGGTCTGGGACTTGAACTGCAGTCAGCCGTGTACTAGCCCAGAGCCCCTAACCAGCATGCCACCTGCCGGCCCCTCCCCCCAGAGCTTTCTGATCAAACAGAGCGTTTGCTTCCCTCTGAGAGCTCACTCCTTGAACCATTCACATTTTGGGAGCCCCACAGGGGAGGTGACTTACCCAGCTCCCAGCTGGTTAGCAGAGCCAGGACTACAGTGGCCTGGGGAGATCTGGGCCCCAAGAGCCAGTAATGGGAAGGCTCCCGCCTGCTCTGCTCTTGGGAGAAGCGGCCTGATGTTCCCGGTGGCCTCCTTTGTCCTCCAGCTTCCCACTCGTCTGTAGTTTCCTGAGTCCAGAGCCACTGGCCTGGCCCAGGCCTCGCCCTCTGTCTTTACTGGAGAAAGACAGCCAGCCACCCTCATCTGGGCTGGCCCTCACAGTGGCGCGTCCCCTCGCTGTGCAGCCAACCTAGGCCTTGTCTTTCCACCCTTGTGACTTTCCTCCCGGTCCTCCCCAGCCTTTCCCGGGCGCGGGCTAGAGCGGAGGGCTGCCCTTGAGCTGCGAGGGCTGCCCTTGAGCTGCGGGGGCTGGAGCAGAGGGCTGCCCCTGAGCTAGAGCGGATGCCCCTCCGCCCAGCCGTGCCAGGAGGTGCTCGTGTTCCCCAGCCCTGCCCTGCCTCTCACACTGACGGTCTTCCTTGTCTCTTGGCAGCCCCTTCTGAGGAATGACTTCCCAGCCATTGAAGGTAAAAGCCCTTCCTGTCCTTTCTTTTTAAAGTATTCAGGGAGTGTATTCCCTCTCCAGTGAGAGAGACAGAGAAAGGGAGAGGAGAAAGCGCCCTCATGGGGCACGGTCAGGCTGTAACCCCGTCTCTGTCTTCCTCCTCTTGGGATATTGGGCGTGCACACGCACCTGGCGTGCTTCTCAGGCTGCTGGGTCTGGGACTCGAATCACACGGTCAGCTGTGTGGGATCTAGCTGCCTTAACCACCAGGCCGTGGGCTGGCCCCCAAAGAAAGTCCTTTCTCATGTGGATGGGGGCATGCCCCAAATCTAGACCGGGTGGAAAATGGAGGAGAAGGGACAGGCCTGACTGTCCTTCATCGAGGGGCGCTTTCTCCTGCCCACCCCACTTCCTGCCCTGTCTCTAGCAAGTGCATGTACTCTCTGGCAATTAAAAAAAAGATAACATAACTTTCCTTTACACACACATTAAAAATTAATTAGTTCAGTATGAAAGCCTGACTGTAATGGGGAAAATAAAAGGAAAAGTATTTAGTAATGGGACCTGCAGGCGGCATAGTGGTTAAGGGCGCTGGACTCCTACATGGCTGCGGTTCGAGTCTGGACCTGGTGGCTTGCTTGCTTTCTTTTTCTCCCTCTTACTCTCACTGTCTCTTTCTGGTCAAATCAAAACAAACAAACAAATAAATAAAGTTAAAGAAGATAATTCTTTGTAAAAAAAATTAGTAAGAAAATAGTAATATATTTAAATACATAGTAACTATCCAAGCTGTAAAATGACTGCACTAAACATAGACTCACATGAATATTACAACTACAAATGCGTATTCATGGGTATTTACAGGTGCGATGGCGGTGTGCGTGTGTGCATTTTTAGTGCCAGAGGGCATGTGTGCTCACCAGAAAGAAACAAAGCCCCCCTGCTGGGGCATTTCACATCACAATCCCTTTCTTCCATTTCTCCATCCTGTCAGGATTTGGGACACACACACACACCCAGCGTGCTCTTCAAGCAGCCAGGGCTGGGATTTGAACTATAGTGGGCTGTGTGGGATCCAGCCCCCTGTGTGCAGAGCTCGACGGCTGGGCTATGGGGCTGGCACATAGGTGTGACTCAGAAGTTAGGGGCAGATGGGACCAGCAGTCGGTGCGATGGCTATGTCACTGACTCCCGTGTAGTTGACCACAGTTCGAGTCCTGGACCCGGTGGCTTAAACTCACATTGGGTGCGTGTGCGTGCATGCCCAAGATCCCGAGAGGAGAATGGAGGAGAAAGGATTGAGGCATGGCCATCTTCCCTGTGGGGGTGGGTGACTTCTCACTTTCTGTCTCTCTCTGTCTCCCTGGTGAACGCATGTGCCCTATAGCAAAAACCGCTCCAAAAGAAGTTAGGGGCAGAAATGGAGAGATCTCAAAGTATGATAGTAGAGAGTAGAGGGGCTAAGTGTATTTACCAGAGACCGGAAGGGAGGATGGTGGGGTTGAGGTGTAAAGGGAAGAAACACAATATAATGTAAAGTTCTCTTTTGGAAAAAAAAAAAAAAGTATTATATATATTATGATGGGGACTTGATGGAAAATGTGAAATTATTCTGAAAATTTAAGAAAAGTATTTTTTGAAATAAAATGAAAACAGATTCTTTGGGGAGAAAAAATTAAGATAGAAATTAGGGGGACCAGCAGTTGGCGTAATGGCTATGTCGCTGAACTCCCATTTAGTCGACCGCAGTTTGAGTCCCGGACACGGTGGCTTAAACTCACGCTGGGCATGTGTGCATGCGTGCCCAAGATCCTGAGAGGAGAATGGAGAAGGGATTGCGGTGTGGCCATCCCCCCTGGGGATGATTTCTTGCTTTCTATCTCTCTGTCTGGTGAGCGCACATGCTCCATAGCAAAAACTTCTCAAAAAAAAAAAAAAAAAAAAAAAAAAAGAAATTAGGATAGTAAAGTAAGTTTCCAAAATAGGGAATGATTCTTGTTAAGATTTTGAAAAAAACAAAGAATAGCCTTCTCTCAACTAACATGATAGTTGTAGTTTGAGAAAAGTAAGTGCTTATTCGAACTGTATAAAAATATTACTGTTTGGGACCAGCAGTTAGCATAGTGGCTATGTTGCTGGACTCCCACGCGTCCCGGACCCGGTGACTTAAAACTCACGCTGGGTGCGTGTGTGTGTGTGCCTGGGATCCCGAGAGGAGAATGGAGGAGAAGGGATTGCGGCGTGACCATCCCCTCTGGGGGGTGATTTCTCGCTTTCTGTCTCTCTGTCTGTCTCTGTCTGGCGAGTGCACGCACCCTATAGCGAAAACCTCTCGTAAAAAAAAAATTGCTGTCTGGGGGCTAGCAAGTGGTGTAATGGTTAAGGTACTGGATTCTCACATCACTGACCTTGGTTCAAGTCCTGGACCCGGTGGTTTGAGAATCACAGCAAACAAATAGATAAATAAATGAATGAATGTTAAAAAAAATTACTTATGTAGAATGCATACAGAGCTTGTTCAGCTAAGTGAGTGTCATGTGGGACATTCGGAAGTCACTAGGGAATCTGGCCTGGTGGCATGTGCCCAGCTACGGTGATGGCTGAGGCTGGAGGACTGTGGGTTCGAGGTTGGCTTAGGCAGCCTCGTAAAACCCTGTCAGGAAGAGAGAGAAGGAAAGAAAGTTCTTAGGATGTGGGACAGAGGTGCTGGCTGTGCAGGACTGCCCGAGGCTGTCACTGCCGCTCCGCCCTCCGCCCCCCCCCCCCCCCCCCCCCCCCCCCCCCCCATGCGTCAGTCACTGACGGGCAGCCAATCTTCCAGTGTTCGCGACCTCGCAGTGAGAGTGAGTCAGTCCTCGGTACCAGCAGCAGCCGCGTGGGGCAGAGCTTCTGCCTGGCCACCTGATCACGTGTTTACCTAGCATGTCATTTCCACCCCTTAACCACCCTGAGTCGGTGTGGTACACGGCTGCAGAAACCGAGGTGCATGGGAGCTGTGCCGGACTCAGGGCTGCGTCGATCTGAGGTGGCCTTGGCTCCTGGGGGCTCAGAGGGCAGGGACAGGGAGGCAGCCCTTGCCCAGCCCTTGCCGAGCCCTTGCCGAGCCCATGAGACGTGTGCTGCGCAGGGCCTCCACAGCAGGAAGAGTTAGGCCTGCGACTGCTGCTCCAACTACGTGGGAGTCTAGTGACATAGCCATTACGCCAACTGCTGGTCCCCTGCTGCTCCTTTTTCTGAGCCTCCTTTGTGAAGTGAGAAGACCTGAATTGGGCGGGGTCCTTCCTGGCCCCCAGGAAGGGAGTGGGAGTGGCCCTTTCAAGGCCAGGCCGCCCCCTTGCCCAGGCGAGCCCCGTGGGTGACCTGGGCCAGGAGCACGCTGCCCGCTGACCTCAGTGCCCCACAGCCTAGCCATGCCTTTGCTCTCTCGAGGGGTGCTCCTCCTCGGGGAGCCAGTCCGCTGGGAGACAAGCCTGCAGTTGATCCTGGACGTCCTCCTCAGCAATGGGAACCCTGGGACTGGCCTGGCCACAGCGCCCTACCCCCATCTCCCCGTCCTGGCCAGCAACATGGACCTCCTCTGGATGGCTGAGGCCAAGATGCCCAGGTGAGGACCCAGTCCCGGCCTCGACCCCGGCGGCCGGGTAGCCGCTCCAGGACAGCCCTGCAGACAGTGTCCCACCCGCCCTCTGACACCAAGTCGGCCTGGCTGCCAAGTAGCTTGCCCTGAGGGGGAGCTTTCGAGGTTCACTCCCCATGTTAATTACCAACTGAAACTACAGATTCTGGGCAGCGGAGGGATGCTGAGGCGATTTCTGACACAACCCCTCCACAATCTCTCTTTAAAACATTATGCTACAGGGTGTGTGCACTTGCTGGAGAGAGACAGACAGACAGAGCAGGAAAGTGAGAAATCACCGCCTGGGGGCATGGCCATGCCCTCCTCCGCTCTCTGCTCAGGGGTTTGGGCACGCACGCACATGCGCCTGGTGTGCTTCTCAGGCGGCTGGGTCGGGGACTCAGCTGTGCAGGTGCATGTGGAATCCAGCTATCCTGACTGCCACGCCACAGGCGGCCCTGCTCTTAAATCTTTTTTCTTAATAAATTTTTTTATTGAACTTTAATTAATTTATTTTATTTTTTCATTTTAAAAAATTTGATCAGAGAGGGAACAGAATGAGAGAGAGAAAGTGAGAAAGCAAGCCACCAGGTCAGGGACTTGAACCGCGGTCGGCTATGTGGGAGTCCTGCGCCTTTAACCACCACACCCCTCCTGGCCCCCATGCCCCGAAGTCTTAACCAAACTCGCTGTATCTGGTGGAGGCAGGTGGGGGTAGTGTTCTGGCTGGATGGGCACTCCTCACCCCTGGCCTGGCCTTTTCTCTCCTGGGTCCCCTTTCACCCCAAGACTGGGGCCAGGTGAAGCAGGGATCACCCCTCCCGTGTAGCCTGAGCACTGAGACCTGTGGTCTGTGCCTTCCGCGGGACACCCTGCACGTGGCTGCGTTGGTGTCACCACCCTGTCCTTTTCTGCTGAGCACAAGCACAGCCTGTGGTGGTGCCAGAGGACCGAAGCCGAGCTCCTCACCCTGTGACCCCAGTGAGCTGGGAGTGATGCATCCAGAGGGTGCTCAGGGCCCTGCCGGGGTCACCATGCTCTCACTGCTCAGCTTTTAAGGTATTTCTCTGGCTTGGGGTTAGGTGTTTTCTCTAAAGTAGTATTTCTGGGGTAGAGTGTGCTGGTGCACCGTGAGGGGTGTTGGTTATGGAGTTGAGAGCTGACGAGCAAGGGGCAAGCCGCAGCGTATAAACCAGATTTGAGATGGCCTTTTCATTCAGTAATTTACAATGGGGCTGGCCCCACAGTGCAGGGGTGAAGCACTGCGCAGAGGAGGCCAGATCCGATATGGCCAGTCAGATTTGAGGCCCTGTCCTGGCAGCTTCCTTGCCGGGTGTGTACATGTGCCAGGCTCCTGGTGAGATGGAGAACTGGAGAGAAAGGATTGCAGAATGGTCAGGCCCCACTGGGCTTCTCGCTCACTCTTTCTCTTTCACGCGTGCATTCATGCCCTCAAGCGTTAAAAAAGAATTAGAAAATTGAAAAAAAAAACGATGTATTAGGTAAGTGACACTGAAATGAACTAATATAGCACAGTATCACAAAGGATTTGGTTTAATAAGAAAGGATGAAAATACCTTGGGGTCAGCAGGTGGTGTGGTGGTTGAGGTGCTGGACACTCCCACAAGGGTAATCACGGTTTGATTCTGGGACCTGGTGGCTTGCTTTCTCAGTTCCCCCCTCTCTATCACTCTCTGGTCAAATAATAATAAAAAAAAGAATGAATGAATAAATAAAATTAAATAAATTATTCTTTAAAATAAAAGGGTGGGATGAAAACACCAAATAAGTCTCAAACAAGGTACTTGTAGGGACCAGCAGGTGGCATGGTGGTTGAGGAGCTGGACTCCCACATGCCTGACTGTGGTTCAAGTCCTGGACCTGGCAGCTTGCTTTCTCACTTTCCCTTTCTCTCTCTCTGGTCAAAAATCAAATCAATGAATCAATAAAAAAAAAAAGATACTTGTAAAAGTTTCTTTTTTATGTGAAAGAAGTCTGGGGTGGGCAGCCTGGATATTGTATGGAATTCCACCTTGTCAGGGACACTGCACCTTTTGTCCCCCTGCTGTGTATTCTTAGCCTTTCACACATAGTCTAAAATGGCTGCTGAAACTCCAGCTATCACATCAGCATTCCAGGTGCAGAAAGGAGTAGGGGAGGGTTTTGTTTAAGAGTTCAGCGTGGGGGCCAGCAGATGGAGTGGTGGTTAAAGGTGCTGGACTCCCACATGGCCGACCATGGTTTGAGTCCTGGACCTGGCAGCCTTCTCTTTCTCTCTCTCTCTCTCTCGTCAGATTAAAAATATAAATAAATGAAATGAAATAAAATAATTCTTAATAAAAAAGAAGTTCAGCGTGATCTTGTCTCCAGTGCTAGGACTGTGCGTGGTAAATGTCAGCCCTTACTCCAAGTGATGAGCCTGGTCCTCTGCCCGCAGGGCGGGGAAGTCGGGGCTGCCTAGAGGCCGCAGGTGGCAGAACAGCCAGTGGGGAGGGTGATGCCGATCTCTGTCCTCCGCAGGTTTGGCCACGGCACGTTTCTGCTGTGCTTGGAGACCATCTACCGGAAGGTGACGGGCAGAGAGCTGAGGTACGAGGGCCTGATGGGCAAGCCCAGCCTGCTCACCTACCAGTACGCCGAGGCCCTGATCCGGCAGCAGGCCGAGCGCCGCGGCTGGGCCGCCCCCATCCGGAAGCTCTACGCCGTGGGGTAAGCGCCCGACGCGCGCCCTCTCCCCTGGCCCCTTCCTCCCGGTGCCCGTGTCCGCGCCCCCTGGCCCCTTCCTCCCCGTGCCCGTGTCCGCGCCCCCTGGCCCCTTCCTCTCCGTGCCCATGTCCGTGCCCATGTCCGTGCCCCCTGCTGCCCACATCTCTGCCTCTGTCCGTAACACCCAGCCTGCCTTTCTCCCCGCCCGGCCTGCTGCCCTGCCAGGGATAACCCCATGTCCGACGTCTACGGGGCCAACCTGTTCCACCAGTACCTGCAGACAGCGCAGCCCGGCGCGGAGCCGCCCCTGGCCACCCGCAGCTGCGCCTCCATCCTGGTGTGCACTGGCGTGTACAGCCCCGGCCAGCATGGGGCCGCTGGGCCTCCCTTCCACGGCCACCGGGACTTCAGCCCCGCGCGGCTGCAGGCGTCACACGTGGTGAGCGACGTGGACGAGGCGGTGCGGCTGGTCTTCAGCGAGGAGGGCTGGGCTTCCTAGCGAGCGCGACGGGCCGTGAGTGTTGTCACTGGTCACCTGGACGGGGCAGCGGACACAGAAATGTACCCCGGATCCATTTCATGTGGAACTGTCGGGATCTTCTGGCCCAGATGCCGTGTCCCCAGTCAGACCCGGCCAGGGGCTTGACCTCTGGGCTTCCACGGCCTCCTGGTTTCAGTGGAGGCTTCCAGCCAGAGGGGACAGCGGGGATGGTGTGGAAGAAACTACTGCATGTCGGCATGGTGTGCAGCCGGCAGGCAGATACTGCTGTTTACTGCATTTTAGTTTATTGCCCCGAGACTTGGGGCTTATTTTTAAAAATTAAAATAATCATAATAAATTTCATGATGCCGCCTTGTGAAGCCCATCTGCAATGCGCCGAAGTCCTTGGTGGGTAGTGAGTACCCGGGTGGGTGGCCCGCTGCGGAGGGGAGTGGCATTTCACTCCGAGGTGCCGCCCCTCCTTTCCTGCCTCCCATCTTCCCACTCCCAAGCCCACGCCCAGTCTGGGCTGCGAAGCTGAGCTGTCTAGGAACGAGTCACGCCTGGCTGTGGCACCCACCCTGGCTGTTGGCATTGCACACTTGCCTGGTGCGGAAACGGAAACTCTCAGTTTGTTCTAAG